GCTAATGTTCCTTTTGAATATTAAGACAGTATTACTTAGCTAAACACATAACTAAAAATTGGAATGTAAAGCCTTTTGGTACCACATGGACCATTAAGTTTCCACTGATTGCTTTCTACAGATCACAGGGATGGGTACATAAATATGAATATGAATAAAGCGAAGCTTAGAGAAAGTGCCAGAAGAATATATGACAGGTTCACAGAGGTTAACTCTTAAATGCAGGCAGGTGAGACTACAGGTGATTCCAGTCTTCTCATTCCTGAGCAATTATTTATAATTTTCATGCAATAATTACAACAAAGGCAGTTTCTATTAACAGCATGAGTAACAGTTTCTGTGGGAGACACTTGACGGACAAAAGTTCATGTTTCCCAGCCACCGCTAAAGCAGGTACCATTCTCCCATCTTACAGATAAGGGAGCAGGCTCAGAGAGGCTAAGATCACAAAACCCATCCTCTTGATTCCTTTGCTGTGCTGCTTTCTGATAAAGTTTAATGTGCTTGTAATAGAAAAAAAGGTAAAGTTTATGAAATACTAATTAAATGACAGCACGAACTTAAGAGATGGGCCTCACACCTCCTAGCGTTTCTCAAGGTGTGTACAGCTGACCCCTTGGGTGCTCTGCCCTCAGCACTCACCCCTCCATGCAGGAGAGGCCTGAAAGTCTCTGGCTGAAGGCCTGGGTCCCGGCAGCAGAAGCCCCAGATTCCAGAACACTGCATAAGCAAAAGCACAGGCACAGCCCTCACCAAAACTGGAGAGGACCTGGAGTATCAGTGCCCAGCTCCCTCCCTCTCTGGGGGCAAACTCTGGTGCTCCATCTCACTGACTTGATAGCACACTATTGCCTCCTTGCCTGTCCCATCTGACCTGCACAGGACAGTAGTGCTTCCGGAGGTCACCTCCCCAAGGCACAGTTCACATCCGTGCCTCAGGCCCCTGCTGGGAGAGCCCAGCCAAAAGCCCCTGAGGTGCTCAGCTTCTCTGTCCCTGCCATGGTAGCCAATGGTTACCATGCCTCAGGTCACAGAGACAACCAAATGGTGACAACCAAATTGCCAGGCACTCCCTCGGTGTTAGGGGAAAACTCCAAACCGATTTCCTTCCTGCATCATTAAACCACAGCACCCCCATGACAAATGCTGAGTCCAGAAATGAGACGCCCTGCTTGCTTTTTAGGACATTACAGTAAAAGGATGTCCTGGATGTGTCTGTACCAGAGAGCAGAGTGATTTCACCAACCCAGAAGTGGGGCACAAGCAATCTTGGGGGTCCTGTAATGATGCAATTGAGATTTGTGTGTGTATATATACATATACATATAAATATATATAGAAATATATATATGTATGTACTACTCTATATCAATCATATTATATAGATATTACATTATCACATAGTATATGTTACATATTTATATATAGTATATTTTTATATAACATATACACATAAATACTTATTTATATGATACAGAGGTTGCTTTAGTATAAGGGTTCTGTAATTGCCCCCCCCACCCCCGGTGGCGCAGCGGTTGAGCGCTGGGTTGCGAAGCTGTCCACAATCTCTGCAGCGCTGGTTCGATCCCCGGCTGCTCCCCGGCCACTGGAGGAGGGTCCCACATGGCGCACAGACCTCTCCTGCCACCTGCTGCTCCCCTCAACAGTGTACTTCGGTCCTTCTGCCTGCTGTGTTCCCCACTCTGGCTCTGGTGAATTCTCTCACCCTCCTGCGCTTCTGACTGTTCCCAGTGCTTGTATGTATAAATAAATAAATAAATAGATAGATAGATAGATAAATAAATAAATAAATCTTTAAAAAAAAATCAATAAGGGTTCTATAAATTCAGGTTCTTCCAGATATAGGAATCCTGTGTTAACTGCCCACAGGACCACACAGCAGGCATCATCTGAAAATTATAAGCCACTGGCCCTGCCCAGCTTAGGAGAAAGGTTGGAGAGGCAGGGAAGCCTCTTTAGAGACTCATGAGTTAGCACTTTTTTAAACAGAAGGTGTCCTAAAGGACTTTAAGAGATCACACTCTGCATCTAATCCTATTCAATCTGTGTTCTGTGTTTTACATCACTCTCCACCTCCCACTTCTCTCCACCCGATCCTTAGCAAGCCTCCACCCCAGGCCAGACCACCACTCTCTCTGCGGTCAGGACCCCACCAGCCTCCACACTAAAACAGATAAGATCTTTCCAAAGGGCCTAATTAAACATTCCATCTGCTACACAGAAACCTTTCAGTCAGATTTAAACAATGAAACTTCTAGAAGAAAACATGGGGTAAGTAAAACTTCTGTTCATCAGAAGACACTATGAAGAGAATTAAAAAACAAGACATAAATTGGGATAAAATATTATATAAATTATATAATACATAATATTTTATCTATATTATAAGTTGTAATTTGTAATGTTATATAAAATATACACATATATGTATGCACATATGTACACACACACAAAGACTTCACAAAGGACTCTAAATTAATAAGGAAAAGACAACCTGGTTTGTTAAGGGCAAAGGATTTGAATGGACACTTCACACTGAGAGAGGGGGAAAAGTCTTCAATGATCAATAAGCAAAAGAAAAGATCATTGGTCACTGACAAAGCACAAATTAAAATCACAACGAGATACTGCAGTCATAATGGCCAAAATTACAGAGACTGACACTAGCAAGTGCCCCTACGGAGGTGGAAGTGGAACTGTTATAGGACAGGGAGCAAATCTGTGATAGGACAGGGAGAGGGGCAGCCCAAACCCTGCACACCTGCCTATTCTAAATGGGTTCTGCCATCCGCCGCATCAACACAAAACATCGGAGACTTTAATGGGAAGGAACTTTAATAAAACTAGGAAACAATACAGGTAAGGCAAAGAGTCTAGTTTCTAAATGAAGCATCCAGAGTTACCCGTCCCCTCGTGGGTAAAAGTCCATCCAAATGGGATTGGCCCAAAACAAGGCCCCAAAGCCTGCTACAAGTCTAAAGCATCTTCCAGTGGGGACCCACAGAAAAGGGTCACAAACAACTGGACAAGCCCGAAAGGAAAAGAGCAAAATCAACATCAAGATAAAAGCTGCCATTGTCACCTCCCCACGGGTCTCACCCACATCTGTGTCACCTAGTCCATGACCAAAAGACAAGCGCAGTTTTTTCACGTGTCTCTAGGCTCCATGCGCCTCCTCCAGGTCTCCTGGCTCCATCCTGCTTCCTTCCTCAGTCTCTTCTGCAGCTTCTCCTCTTCCTGCTCAGCTCCACCCTCCCTTGGGTGGGGCAGGGAACCTCCCCCTTTCCTGGGGACCACCCTGTTACAGAACTGGTTTTAAATCAGCATATACACCTTGGGAAAATCCTCGACAAAACCTACTAAAGTGGACCAACACCCAATCCACGACCTGTCAAATTACCCAATATATGAGTGCTGGGGTCCATGAAAAACACACTCAGGAGTGTTCCTGGCAGCTCCATTCATAATAGCCCAAACCTGGAAATCAATAAACTGTGCATCAATAGTTGATGAAATTAATAACTTGGAGCATAACATATGCTGGAATAGAATACAGCAGTGGGCAAAACCAAGTTATCATGGCATGCAAAAAAGCATGGGAATAATCACAGATGTGTGGGGAACAAAATAAGCAGGACCCAAAGCGATAAAATTGTACTTATCCAAAGTTCAGGAAGCAGGCAAAACCACCTATCACCTCGAGGTGATACAGCAATAACCTTTGGGGTTTTTAACTAGGGGAGGTCCAAGGAAGCCCTTTGGGGGCCTAGAAAAACTCTGTATCTTGATATGGAATGGTGATCACATGGTCATACAAAACTATCCATCCAGTTTACATTTGAAATTTGTATAATTTACAATATGTAAGTTTTATGCCTAAAACCCAAAACTTCCAGTGGCCTCCAGGTGCTCATGAAATAAAGCCACACCTCTCAGAATGGCCCTGCATGATCTGCCTTCCCACCCCCAGGACCTCATCTCTTGCCCCACCCCACTAGTTCCTAACTTGCTCGTTCTAGAGAGCTCAGCTTGCTTTGACAAGAAGAGAGTCAGGGTCTAGAAGAATCCCACCCATGGATGGGTAGAGAAACCAGCAGGGAATTACTAGTTGGCTTCTCTTTTTCCTGATTAATGTCAGGATCTGTGTGCACCAATGCAGCAACAGGTCCCAGATTATATGCCTCTTCCTCCAGGACACCTTCCCAGACCCCTGCCCCATTCCAGGCAGGTTTTGGGTCCCACAACTCTCTGCTTCTTTGTCACATGAACCCTACTGTAAGCCTGTTTACTCTCCTGCTTTGCTCCCTGAGGGCTGAGATCCCCTCTGTCTTGTTCCCTGTTTTATCACTAGAACCTAAAAAGACACATAAATAGGAACACACAAACATCTGCCAGGACAAATGAATGTTTGAATATGAATGGTTGAATGCAGAAAATGAATCATTTAATGGAGGATAAGAATGGGATGAGGCCAATAGGTATTCTATGCAATTCCTTCAGTGGACAGAAGGTGAAAATGGGGCCCAGAGAGGATGAGTGGCTTGCCTCAAGTCACAGTCAATTAGGGGCAAATGCTGCTGTACCACCATCACCCCCTCCCCCCAGCAGGCCCCCTTTTCTGGTGCTGCATCCTTCATCCCACTTGCTTTGAGGGTCACCTTCTAACTCTCACAGGTAGACCCTTCTCCAGCATGGCTGTCCTCTAACACGCTGGCTCAAGGCTGTCCTGGTAGCTGCACCCCAACCAGGTCATCCATAACCAATGACTGACCTATGTGGGACACAAAAATCTGCTTACCCATGACTTAAGCTGGGCTGGATGAGGACATGAGCTCTGTGGCTCCATAGGCCTTTCCTCCACCCCGAATGACCCCCTCCCCCATCACCAATCCTCACCGCCCCACCCCCCCACAGTATGAGACTGGAGCTAAATTCTGCTGAGACCACATCCCTTCCCCTGCCCCTCTTGCTACCCTCACCTGCCACTCCAACGAGCCTGCACCAGTCACTCTTACAGAACGCGCGTCGCAAGCTCGGCTTCTCTGGGCTCTACCCACGCCAGGACAATTTGCCTGGCTCCTGGTGGAGGCACAGCCTCTGGAATGGGAGTCTAAAATGAAGGACAGAAAGAGATAAAAAGACACTTCTCCAAAGAAGAAATGCAAATGGCCAACAGACATATGAAAAATTGTTCTACATAACTTATCATTAGGGAAATGCAATTCAAAACCAAAACGAGATACCACCTCACAGCTGTGAGAAGGGCCCTTTTTAAAAAAAACTCGAAACAACAAATGCCGGATGTGAAGATAAAGGAACATTCTCACACCGCTGGCGGGACTATAAGCTGGTCCAGCCACCACAGAAAGCTGTGGGGGGATGCTCAGAACCTTGGAGATGGATCTACTATATGATCCAGCAATTCCACTCCTGGGAATGTACTCAGTGGACACAAAATCACTGATTCAAAAGGAATCTTGCACTCCTATATTTACTGCAGCACTATTTACAACAGCCAAGATAGGGAAACAACATAAATGCCCCCAAATAGACAAATGGATCAAGAATATGTGGTCCATATGCACAATGGAATACTGCTCAGCGATACAAAAAGATAAACACATGCCACTTGCGGCAACATGGATGGAGCTGGAAGGGATCATGCTCAGTGAAATTAAGTTAGAAGTCCAAAATAGTGGACGGTTTCACTCATATGTGGAATATAGAGGAACCAAACACAGGGTCAGGTGAAAGACAGAACTTGCAAGATGAACATAGATCTGAGGCATACAGCAGAGGAGCAGGGAGAGGAGTCACACAGGGGAGGAAAGAGCACCAGGGACTCAAAATGAATCGTGGGTGCTGTGGTGGTTGGAAACTATGGGGACTATACCTGAGGGGGGAAATCAAATACTGTCTAAAAATTCATAATTATGTAAGAAAATAAACTTAATAAATAAAGAAAGCAGTAATCGAAAAAAAAAAAATGAACAATGCCAGTTATGAACTCAGGGGGCCCAGCTGCCAGGGGAGACGTAGGCAGAGCGGGTGTGTACCTGTTGGGGGAGAGTCTACCCTTTGGTTCCCAGCACCCCCTACTTTTTTTTAAGATTTATTTATTTATGCATACAAGAACTGGGGTACAGGCCAGTGGCGTGGGGGGTGGGAGGATCCACCAGAGAGAGAGTGGTGGACAGGCATATTGACTGAAATATACTGCTGAGGGGAGCAGCGGGTGAGACAGGAGAGGTCTGCCTCGCCATGTGGATTGCTCCCTGGCCAGCCGGGGATAGAACTCGTGCTGCAGTGGCTGCGGATAGCTTCATAGGTTGCATCTTAACTCCTTGCGCAACCAGGGAGGCCCCCACCCCCTACTTTTCTTGTAAAAGATACACAGAAACATCCACCCAAACACCCTTAACATCCTTGCTTTTCAGCCACCAGCAATGAAGCACTAAATGTCCCTCTGAGTCCACAGAGGGCCCTCCGCTGAGACAACCTGCCCCTCATCAGCTCTCAGAACTGCCACCTGGACAGAAAGGGGTCCGCTCCCCAATAAGTCACTGCAATCCCCCTACCCCCAACCCAGGCATAGAGCACGACCTGTTACAGAAAACACCATGCAATCTCCTAAATTTGGATAAACACCACCTGCTCTCTATTCTCCCAGGCCCTAATTTTGCCCAGCGTAATCACCAGTTAAGAGCTCAAAGGACACCGTGTTTGGGGGACAGCACACAGGATTGGCGCCCAAGAGTCCCCCCACCCGCAACCCATCTCCTTGCCCTGTCTGTGTCCCTCTGTGTGACCATGCAGAGGGTGACTTCCAGAGTCAGCCAGAGGCTGTCAACCCCATATCAACCTCTACCAGCTGTGCGACCTTGGGCAAGTCACACCACCACTCTGGGCCTCGGCTTCCTCATCTATAAATGAACCAAGGATACGTGCTTTACATGCTTTTTGGAATGCTTTTATTTGACGATTAAAGGAGACCACATGAGCGAAGTGCTTAGCACATCCCTGGTTACCACAGGCATCAACTACTGTCCTCAACAACAGTATTAATAGTCATCATTCAGAGATGAGTGACTGGGACTAGGCGGCAGCCTGCAGGGTCAGAACATTTGCTCATCCACGTGTGCAGGAAAGAGGCAGAAAGGAGGGGGACAGTCTTCATGCAGCATCCCAAACAAGACAGGAAAATTAAGGGCCTCCCTGGTGGTGTAGGCGGTTGAGCGCAGCACTGTGAAGCTGTCCGCAACCTCTGCAGTGCCGGTTCGATCCCCGCTAGCCTCGGAGCAACCCACATGGTGAGCAGACCTCTCTTGTCTCGCCCACTGCTCCCCTCAGCTGTGTACTTCATCCGTCTGCCCGTTCTGTTCCCCACTCTATCTCTGGTGAGTCCCTCCCGTGCATCTGGCCTGTACCCCTGCTCTTGTATAAATTTAAAAAAAAAAAAAAAAACTTTAAAAAAAAAAAAAAAGAGGGCCTCCCCGGTGGCGCAGCAGTTGAGTGCTGGGTTGCGAAGCTGCGAAGCTGCCCACAGCCTCTGCAGCGCTGGTTTGATCCCCGGCCACCAGGCTAGGGTCCCACATGGTGCACAGACCGCTCTTGCCGCCCACTGCTCCCCTCAGCAGTGTACTTTGTCAGTCTGCCTGTTCTGTTCCCCGCTCTGGCTCTGGTGAATTCTCTCACCCTCCCACGCTTCTGAATGTACCCAGTGCTTGTATAAATAAATAAATAAATCTTTAAAAAAAAGAAAAAAAGACAGGAAAGTCAAGCGGCCTGGAAAGCAGATACAGCAGGTGCTTGGGAGACAGGAGCTTGCTATAAAAGTTCTCTCAGAAGGTAAACCCCCAAAAATAACTTCCCTGAGATCAGAGATCCTTTTATGCCAAAAAAGCAACTCTGTGCAAACAGCCCCAGACTTCCGGCAGAGGCAGAAACAGGCAACATCTCCCTAGTCACAGCCTCTGAGCTCATGCTCTAGTTCGCCTGAGCCACAGTCACCCTCTGTCCCCGGAGCCCGCCAGGCCCTCAACAGAGCTCACCACACTGTGCATAGGGAAGGAGCCTGATGGTCACAGTAGATGCTGTGGGAGCCGTGCCCCAATTCTCCCGGTCAGTGGACAACTTTCTTCTGCAGGTGAATAAGTACCCAAGCTCCCCACTTTCAGGGGACAATTGAGAGACACGTTCCACAGTCTCCCTGAGTTTCCAGCAACGTTAAACGCCAGTTGCCCCCAGAGGTAACATGCTCCTTAGAGAACCCTACTGGTGCACCACCATCCAAGTAAACCACTTACCCTCGCTCTGCTTTTGGGGGAGCCCCACCTAAGACACCCCTCTTTCCTAGAACCACTGACTCACCAGGGATGGACCTGCTCACAACACCTGTCGTGATACAGTGGTGATGAACACTGCCTCATGAAGTGGGTCACAGACTATCAGCAGCCAAAACCTGTGAGTTCCCAATGTCACCACTTACTTGCTGAATTTTTCAAAGTTGCTCTTTTGCCAATTTATTCCAAAGATTTATTGATTCACTATGCACCAGACCCTATGTTTAGTGATGGTGAGATACTGATAAATTCAGAAGCTGGGGTCCCTGTTTGCACAGTTTATAGAGTTGGGGAGTAGAAAAGGCAGGGAATGGATAAGCTAGCATGCCAGGACAAATATGGCAGTATGTGATAGGGGAGGTGAGAGGGAAGGGCTCTGTGATGTGAATCATGATTGGTCCCCATGGATTAGGTGATTAAGGAGGAGGTGACATTTCAGTGCACAGCCTACAAGATCAGAAATGTCACCTGGAGGAGGTGACATTTCAGTGCACAGCCTAAAAGATCAGAGGGAACCAGCCAAGGGAAAACTATGAAGTCTAGAGTCAGAAAGCAGTCCCCTTACCCTGCAGGTCTCATTCCTGTCCACAAACCTCAAATGAATTCAGTTGCCCTGAAACCCATTTTTGAGCAACTAACATAGATAGAGTGAATTTCCTTGCAAAGAATCATATGAAGCAGAAATGGGAATTCTTCCCACTGAGGGGGGATTCAAAAAGAGACACCCTAAAAGTAGCAAGTGTGCTCCCAGTTCCAAGGTTGGGGTCAGGGCTAGAGTCTTGGGGGTCCTGTGACCTACAGGCAGAGAGCCACAGGACAGGGTGCCTCCTTCTATTCCAGGGAGCGGTGGAGCAAAGGCAAACATTGAAGGAACAGATATTTCTGCAGTCGTGGCAGGAGTGGAGGAAAGTGGCATGGGCTGAGAGAGGGACCAGTGGGCAGATCTTGTAGTACTCTGACACCCCCAAGAGAAAACATTTGGGCCACTGCCAGAATCACCTCCCTCTCCCTGACTTCTTGCATTCTGATCTGCTTTCCTGAGTGGGAGAGGGTGGAGTTACCACCCACCTGCCAGCAGACTGCTGAGTCCCCCACTCCCGGGGGAGCGCCTCTAGCATGTCAGCATCATTCATCCTGCGCATCCAGGTGAGAACTGTTGGCATGAAGGCTGGGAAGGCAGAGAGAGTCACTTTGAGATCAGCACCCAGTGAGTGGGCCTCGCAGTGGAAAGAGGCCTGCAGTGAACAGTTCACAGAACACAGACTTGAATTCGAGTCCTGCCTTTATGTATCTGCACAAGTTTCTTAACTTTCTTCACCTTAGTTTCCTCATGTGCCAAATGGGTTAATCCTGCCTACCTTCCAAAAGCTGCCAAGATATTTACTAAAATGGTCCATAGAAGAACACTTAGCCCTGTCTATTTATTCCACTTTTATGGGTCACCTACTATGTGCCAGGCATGGCCGGAGAACCTGGATGCAGCTGTGAACAAGAGGAATACTGAGAATAGTGAGAGACATATGATGCTGACACAAGTCAGCGATTACAAAGTCAAGACTTTCCAGCACACAGGAGGCATGGGCCCTCCACTGGAGACCCAGCGCCCCCCTTTTGTAAGCCCAGAGCCTAAAGCCACACAGCAAACCCTGCCAGAGCACGTGCATTGTTAAAGAATCCAGTTCCTCAGAACCCACTCTTGGCTCTAGCAGGGTCCAAGCCCCAGCCCCCAGGCCGCTGCTAGCTGATCTCAGGAGATCAGCTTTGGGTG